CACATTTCTAAAAGTTCGTCTCGATCTGGCAGATTATCAACATTATACAAAAAACCCCAAATTTTTGAAAATTCATTAAGATGTTGAAATCTCTCTTTTATTGATGATAAAACTGTATCCAACAAGGGGTTAAAAAATTCAACTTCTAATTTCTTCTCTGGGCAAGTGATTGGTTCGTCTTTGTTTTTTTCATCAAAGATCCGCTTAACACGTCGTACCCTTTTTATTTCTTTAAAAATTGGTTCAATTTCAAGCTCATCTGCTAGTTCTCTTGCTGTAACAATGGCCTTTTTAAAACCTTCTTTTCTATAGTCTTCTAAAAAGTTGCAGCAGTTCTTTAACATTTCTACGCATTCGGTGATGTCCATATCCTTTGCTTGAAGCGATTTACTGACTATGTTTATTTGGAAAAGAATATCATACCACACAATCAGTGAGACAAGAAAGCTAAAGTCTTTTAATTGTTCGGCTAAAGTAATAGCTTCATGTGCTGTATGACTATCGCCACCTGGAATTTCAGATAAAGCCACTAAAGCGTCATGAATTCCACCGATTTGGTATCGAACTGCTTTCACACTTCTGATTTTTGCTTCCCAACGTGTGTCAGATAGTTTTTTTAACGTGTATAGTTCAACGTGATCAGTCAAAATTTTCCACCGATTGACTGAAGCAGAGAATAATGTGAACAATCTCTGAAGTACACCGAAAAGAGTTACTGACTTGACTGAAGATTGTGCAGCATCAGAAATTACGAGGTTTAAATTATGGGATCCACAAGATACAAAATCAGCCAACGGATTTTCATCTAATATTCTTCTTTGCACGCCAACAATTTTTCCTTTCATATTAGATCCGTTATCATATGCTTGACCTCTGCAGTTTTCCGGTTAAAGTCCGAATGTCTCCAACATTTGAAGTATTGATTCAGTAAGACCTGCACCAGTCGTATCATTGACATTAATAAATCCCACAAAATGTTTTTTTATTTCTACCGTATCGACAGTTACATCTACAAATCTAATAGTAAGGGAAAGTTGTTCTTTTCGCGAAACGTCTGGCGTACAATCAGCAATGATTGAATAATATTTGGCTGATAGAGCATTATTTTTAATTACAACATTTACATTTTCAGCAATTAAATCTATTAATTCATTTTGTATCTTTGGCCCACAATAATGATCAACAATTTTGCCATCCACAGCAAGATTCAAATGATTTTCCATGACAGGATCAAACTTTGCAATCGTTTGCACTAATCCCAGAAATTTACCATTATTAGGCGTAAAAAGTTTATCTGAATTACCTCGGAAAGCCATATTATTTACACCTAAATATAAAACAATATTCAACAGCCGAAACAAAACACTTTGCCATCGCAAACTCTCTTTTTTAATAATTTTTAATTCCTCTTTATCGATAGTTTCTCCTGTTTTTAGCCTCATCTCTGTTTCTATCCACATTCGGTAAGCTTTTTTATGAGAAAGACTGTTCTCATGAATTGAAAGATATTCTGATAAATTTTTCCATTTATTGAATCCATCACCAACGAATTTTGAAATAGATTTGTTGTCAAAAAGTCGACAGCAAAAGCAAAATACGCAATCTCGCGAAAGAGAGTACACTAACCATCGTCTGCAAAGTACTTCGCCATTTGAAAGTTTTCTAGTATAATATGAGTTTGAAAAATGTCGACCTTCTCCATTTTGAGGGTAATTGTCAATTTTAATTTGATTTGGACCTCCTTTAATCAACTCATCGATAAGACTATTATTTCGAATGGTAGGCCAATTTCCACAATCAGACAACTGTAAAATCTCTTGTGAATTGTCAATAATATCCTCGTTTTTCGTATCTTGTACACTATTTAAATCTATTTCTTTATTTTCAATTTCATGTATGTCATTCACTAATTCCGTGGAAACACTTTCGGAAATACTTGATTCAGAAGGAACTTTTATACAGTCTTCAGGGATTACGTCTTTTACTTTTTGAATTATATATTTTTTAATATCCATAAACTTTTTATCATGTTCTAATTGCTGAATTTTCTCCGCTTTTCGTTTTCTAAATTCAAAACCAGACGGTTTCTTTTTATCACTTGACATCTTGCTAATTTATTAAATCAAAATTATTGCGAATATCCTATACGTAAAAAAATAAAAAATTATTATTATAAACTATTTCTAGAGTGGCCGACTCGACCCTTTGAACAACAAAATAATTCCTCATTTCTTTCAACTCAATTTTTTTTGCTATTGAGGAGTTTTTATACCAGTGTGACAGTGTGAAATATTTCTGTTAATATAATATATGTAAATAAATATAAAACACGAATAATACTAAGATTTAAATATATAATTGCATATCATGCATAATCGTTATTTTTTACAAATATTAAGCATAAACAAAATAAAAAGTTTTACAACAAAGACAAAACACAAACATAAATATACATTTTCTCGATAAAGATCTTACCAGTGAATAATTTCAGTTAGGGAACTGGAATTTATAGTTTAGAAACTTTATGTTCATTCTTATTTCCTTCTTAACTTTTTGAATACAATTTTTTATCAGCATGTGCATTTGTTTCACTTTAAAACTTTCCTTGGTTTAGTTATTTAATTCTACAAATTAACCATAAATTTATAAAAAGCAATAATTGTGATGTTTATATCACTGAAAATACTTGAATCTATTATTTGCTACCTATTGATAAATAATCAGGGATGGGTGCGTAATATATTTCATATCAGCGTTGGGCAATAACGTGTCTGTGTGCAACTCTGGGACTAACGTTAGGGTGCGGTCACAGCATTTAAAATAGTTCGATATATCGAACTTTTGCATAACTTGATTCGTTGGATCTAACGGAATACTTATCTTACTATTAGATCCAACCGATCATGTTCTGCAAAAGTTCGATATATCGAACTATTTCAATGCTGTGACCGCACCCTTAGTTACTTATTGTCAGGTTGAGTTCACAATAGACGATATTGCTTTTTTATATAATAAATAAGATATATATTTTTAATAATCCTAAAATATTTAAATTAAAATTTCGGAAAGTTATTTTTAAGTTATTGAAAAAAATTTATTTAAGTCAAAATATACATATAAGCAACTTTTTTGGGCGCCCCAAATTACTAGGCGCCCTTGGGCGGCGCCCGACCTTGCGCCCCCCTAAGACCGGCACTGAACTGAAATATAATTGAAAAAAATTGAGAAATATTTATAATTAATTTAAAAATATTTAATAATAATTGAAACTTAATCAAGAGTATTGGATTGAGAACATATGTAGTCCAGTGCAATTGTCGTTTTCAAAGCCTTAAAAAAAGAAAAATTCCAAGGTCGACAATTTTCTTTTGGATTCGATAGGGGGCTACTTGCTGAACCGAAATCTGCGTTTGCGACATCGGGGGACCATGAAGTAGGATAAGGAGAGGTAACGGCGTATATTCATTGGCCCTCAGATAGACGGACCACAGTAGTAGGCTTTCTTTTTTCCTAATGTCGCGAGCGCTCCTTTGGGGAAAGCGAAGAATTAAAATTTATCGTCTGCAACATGGCTGCAAGTCAGCTGTTTACAACGTTAGGTTAAGTTAATGAATATGAAGGTATTATGCAAATACATTAACTGTAAAATGTCAGAAATATTTTAAAAATCAAATAATAGTTTAATATTGACACTGGAATTTATTATGTTGTATTGCCTAATGGATGAGACAACGCTTGGCAAATTGTTTTGTGTTGAATGTACATTGAAATAATGTAAAGAAAAAGTAAGTATTATTATTTGAGTATTAAATATGAATTTAATGTTTAAATTAATATAAAATGAGTAAAAAGTTTTATTTTATTAATACATAATTACTCGTGTTTACTGTTTATTTATTACCGAAATTAGAATATTTTACAATTATCAGAAAAGTAGATGTACTTTAATATTAAAGGGTAATTTAATTTTATATTTTGCAGCAGTAATTTTTCCATTCGTAGAAGCAAATCACGTTAAAGAAAAACAGCAATGGACCAAATCAAAGGAATATGTACATTTGAAGAGTACAAAAGCTGCTTACAGGAGATAAAAATGCCTTCAGACAAGTGGTGCTTTGTAAAAGGTTCTGAACGTTACTTTGGTTTTCTAAAAGTAGAAAATTTAAATGTAACAAAGAAATTAATAATATTAAGTGATTTAAGTGTCAAAATTGTTATTGGTGATAGAGTTAGTTTGTTATCGAAATTTATAAAAATTTCAAGTGTTGATGAACTGATAAGTCTTTTAGAAAGTGTGGACGAAATGTAATTAATTATTCAATTCTGAATAAGTTATTGTAATTTAATTAATTTAATTAATTATAGATTTTATATATATATATATATATATATATATTTATTTATTTATTTTAATTTTTTATTCAATTGTGTATATTAATAAAATATTCTTGATTAAATTAGAAATTGTCATTATTGATTCTATTGTAATACTTTGTAAGCAATGTAATTTTAGTTTTATAAGAAATGTAATTATAGAACACTAACACATTACTGAAATACTTCATGTGTAAAACAAACGACTGAATTTTAACAACAAAAACACCATGTGAAACATTCAGGTTATGTTTCTCTTTTCGCGGTAGGTCACGTGATAAAATATAATTCAAATATTTCCCACCGCAAGCGCTGTCAACAGTAGGAAAATAGAAAGTCGTACTACTGTGGTCCCCCCTATATGGTGTCAAGTTTTCTAGCGATTGGCTACAGGCGTTACCTCTCCTTATCCTACTTCATGCGGGGGACGTAAATTTGGCCGCCATATTGAAGAAAGGATAAAATTTTGAATTTAAAATAATTCGTAATCTATGGCTCCTATGCAAAAATGTTAAAAATACAAATTTATTGGAAATAAAATTGTGTATCTTTTTGATATGAATCATTTTTAGCTTAAATTAATAGTCTGTCTTTTATTATAAAAAAAAGTAACAAAAAATTCTTACCAAATCCATTTTTGATCAGCTGATACTAGCTACTGCCATACATTATAGGAAGATCAAACATGGCGTTTCACACATAAAAATCTCTAAATCAATAAATCAAAGTATATGCCCCTTATCAAATCCAAAAAAATTGTCAACCTTGGAATTATTGTTTTTTCATTGGACTAATATATTTTTACAGAGCGCCTGCATTAATATTATTCAGAACTGTTTTTATTTCTCTCTGAAATAAAATATTATAATTATAAAATAAACATGAAAACAATGTTTTTTTGTTAAACAAATTCAGGATTGGAGAGATCGTGATTGATAATCAACATTATAATGAAAATGTAGAATTGGCAGACGAAGTTAATCATGAATTACATCATCAGTTAGTACATATTTAAAATTTTTAAAAAATCTTGTATATATATATATATATACTTTTTTTAAATTAAAAAAAAATATATAGGGGAATAGTGTCAGGGTTGGACACTTGGCTTTTTTTAAATAAGAACACTAGCGCCACCTGTGTGCGTACGTGACGAATCTTCTAGTAGTATAACCTAACTTTTTGTGGCATTACATTTTTGGAGAATCAAAAGTAGCGTCTCTTGTGACTTCGGTGCAATCGAAGAGACAAAAAAAGTTTTGTTTGACTTGTGAATAAACCTAAAAAATGTGTAAAAAAGCACGAATTCGGCAAGATAAGCTTATTGAATGTATTGTGGGGTACATAATTTAAGAAGAAAAAAAGTGAAAAATCGAATCGCGACACATGTCTAGTTATGGTTAGCACAATTCGAAAATGATGCTTCTAGTTAGGGTTGGACACTTTATACAGTTAGGGTTGGACACCCATATTAATTATGAATTTGACACAATTTATAAATAAATTTTATTTTATTGATATTTCAGTGCAAAATTGTGCCAAAGATATTAGAAAAATAATACTTAAATTGTATAAATTTTGTTCATCATTTCATTGAGTTATTTGGAACAATAAAGCGTTATTTTTTATAATTTGAGTTCATTCCTTTTTTAAACCCATGAAGCTTTACAATTTGTAAACAATAAGTAAAGATAAACATGAAAAAATAAGAATAAAAAACATTACAAATGTTATTTTACGTTTTTACCAATAATGCGTTTCGATTTTCAAAAAGTGTCCAACCCTGACTGAAAAGTCCAACCCTGACTAGATTTTTTTTTTTTTAAATGTTTATAACTTTTTTAATTTTGGACCAATCAATTTACGGTCCACAGCAAAAGTGTTCCTCTTTTGTAGATCTTTCCACCCATATACCACAATTGACTGAATTTATCTAAACAAAATATTTATAAACAAAAAACCAAAACTGTGTCCAACCCTGACACTATTCCCCTATATAGTATATAATTATTATAGATGCAAGTTTATTATAATCGTATCTTTAAATTTTTTGTCGGATTTTAGATTTATATATGAAGAAACAGAGGACATTGAAAATAATGTACCAGAAATTATACATGAATATGAAAATGAGAATGGCGATGAAGTTGATGATAATGAAGATGTCGATGACGATGAATACGAAAATAATGCAGTTGAGGATGAAAATGACGACGAAGATGAAAATGAAGAAGATGAGGTCATGCATTTGATGCATTTTTTAATGAAAATAATCATGAGCCCTTATATCAAGGAGCTCCATTAACGGTTGTTCAAAGCATGTTATTGATATTATCCATATTTTTGCATCATAATGTACCATTATCCTGCATTGCTGATATTATTGCAGTTATTAATTTTCACTGTTTACAGCTAAATTTAAAAAAAAATAGCTTATATAAATTTCAAAAATTTTTTTCTTTAACAACGAGAAATGAATTTATTAAAAAAATTTATTACTGTTCGACTTGTTGTAGACAATTACCACATGCAACTTTTCGTTGTCCTTCGTGCCCAAGAAAAAAAAATTCGTATTTTGTGCAACTGGCTTTTCTTGAACAATTAAAAGAAATGTTTCATCGAGAGAATTTTTATAATGACTTGCAATATCGTTTTCATAGACCTAATGGAGCTTCGGATATCTACGACGGTTCCGTGTATAATGAATGGATGCAAAATGACGGTTTTCTTTCTAATCCTAATAACATTTCTCTAAGTTGGTATACAGATGGAATACCAGTTTTTAAGTCATCAAAAATAAGTGCATGGCCTGTATATTTAACTATCAATGAATTACCTCCAAATGAAAGAAAAAGAAGAGAAAATATTTTACTTGCTGGATTGTGGTATGGTGATCAAAAGCCAGATATGAACATGTACTTTAACTCTTTTTATTCTGAATTACAAAAACTTAGGGACGGAATTCAAACTTATATTCCTCAGTTAAATATTGATGTAAATATCCGAGGAATTTTATTAACAGGAACATGTGATTTGCCTGCTAAAGCTGCTTGTTTAAATTTTACTCAACATAATGGAGACTACGGTTGTCCAACATGTTTCGTTAAAGGTGAAACTCTTGCTTTACCAACAGGTGGCACTGTTCACATTTATGATTATAGTAATGAATTTGATTTGAGAACATTTGCAGCATGCGATTTACATGCAGAATATGCGACAAGTGATATCCCTGTCATGGGTATAAAAGGTCCTACAATGCTTTCCCGTTTAATGCCTGATTTTATAAAAGGAATGGCAATAGACCGTATGCATGCGGTTGAAGGTGGTGTAGTTAAAAAAATATTAACATTATTGTTTGATTTAAAATACAGAGCATACGATTTTTCTTTGATTAATGCTATAGATGTAATTGATAGGAAATTGACTCAAATTAAACCACCCAAATTTGTCCATCGTATGCCTCGTACTGTTGATGATTTAGTTCATTGGAAAGCTTCGGAGTTGAAAATGTGGTTCTTTTATTATTCAATCCCTGTTTTTCATGGAGTTATGGAGCAAAATTTTTTTGAACACTATATTCTACTTGTTACTGCTTTATCAATTTTAAACTCAAATACTATACGGTATGACAAAATTGTGGTAGCTCGTAATTTGTTACATAAATTTGTAAGAGAATTTCCAGGTTTATACAATATACAGTTTTGTTCAATTAATGTCCACCAACTATTACATTTACCTGATGACGTTATAGAATTTGGTCCTTTATGGGTACATTCTTGCTTCGAATATGAAAATATAAATGGTAAATTATTACAACTTGTACATGGAACTACTCACATAGATACACAAATAGTACGTTCACATCATTTGTTTATAAGTATGATAAATAAAATTGAACAAATAGAAGATGGCCCGATAAAAAATTTTTGTTTGAAAAAGAAACAACAAGTCAAAATTATAGAACAACTTTTTCCGAATTGCTATAGTGTAGGTACATACAAGCGTCTTTTCGAACTTACTCATGTAATGTATACTGTTATATTTATATTTGTCATGAACCATTTAACAAATTTAAATTTGGACAAATTCAGAGATAATAATTATAATAGTTTTACAATATCCAACTCTTCTTGGGTAAAATTATTAATATAAGTTTAAAAAAAAAAATTTTGGTTTTAGATGACTCAGCAATGCTGGATAAAATAGTTGTAACTGCAACTGGAGAAATTGTACCCCCAACAAATAAAATTTTCTCTTCTACAATTTTGGAGCAAAGAAAAAATCTGCAGGTCCAAAAAAAATTGCAGGAAAACATTAAAAAATCGAATGTGCGTCAAATGAATGACACAATAAGGAATAAAATATCGTTATTTCATAATTTTAAAGAAGGTAAGAACAAATTAAAATTTTTTTTTAATGAGGAATGATACACGTTGATAAAACCTTAAATCTGAGAAATAATTTTTTGTCTCGTTCTGTATTTTTTTCAGGGGAAGGAGTAGAACCCACTAGAAACACTGTATTTCTAGGAACAACAGTAAGGCCTACTGCTCCTTCAAGATTCGAATCGAATCCCGGGCAATCTGCTGTCACAGGAGCGAGATTAAGACCTAATGCTCCTTCAATATTCGAATCGAATCCTGGATCATCTGCTTTCCCAGGAGCAAGAGTTAGGCCTACTGCTCCTTCAAGATTCGAATTAAATTCCGGAGCATCTGCTTTCCCAGGAGCAAGAATAAGGTCTACTGCTCCTTCAAGATTGGAATTGAATTCCGGAGCATCTGCTCTCTCAGGAGCAAAAGAAAGGCCTACTGCTCCTTCAAGATTCAAATTGAATTCCGGGCCATCTGCTCTTTCAGGAGCAAGAGTTAGGCCTACTGCTCCTTTAAGATTGGAATTGAATTCCGGAGCATCTGCTTTCCCAGGAGCAAGAGTAAGGCCTAATGCTCCTTCAAGGTTCGAATCGAATCCTGGATCATCTGCTCTCCCAGGAACAAGAGTAAGGCCTAATGCTCTTTCAAGATTTGAAACATCCTCAGAAGTCAAAAAACGCCTAGCAGGTGAAGCAGTATATTCAACAGCTAAACGCTTTGCTGGACCTTCTGGTTCTGAATCAGAGAAATCGCAGCAAGAAGACTATTCTGAGGCAAAACCATTTTATTCGCTGTAAGTATAACCTAAATTTTTTAAAGTAATTTAAAAAAAAATTTTTATTTTATGTGACGAGGAGGATATATATTTATTAATATCTATTTTGCTTACGTATTCTAGATCTGAGGAGAAAGACAATCAGGATCTTATTCAAGATGTCTCGGATGACGAGTTGTCTAGTGATTCTTCATCTAGTGATAATGAAGATCAAAGAGAAGAAATGAAACGATTTGCCGATTCATTACCGATTAAAAGTATGAAATCTTTTTTTAATGAAAAATTTTTTTTTAATAAGGTACTGTTATATTTAAACATTTAATTTTGATTACAGTCAAAAGGAGTCATATAAAGTGTTTCAAACTGTTCCTTTCAGTTATTGAATATTCTTACCAACTAAGAACAAAAACTAAGTTCAGCTCCAAAACTGATTTCAAAGTGAGTTGATCTTTTTTGTTTAACCGTCATTCACATATAGTATATGTCGTAATAGAATGTATTTTATGTTTTTAATTTCTAATCCGTTTAAATTTTGTTTTTAGATGCCAGTGCAATTTTTTCAACCGGGACCTGGCATGGTAAAAATTCATTTTTTTCTTATTCATGTTATTTTGATTTTTTTATTGAATTCAATAAATATTAATTCAATTGCAAAATTAATTAAAGAATTTGTTTTTCAATTCAGGTGGAAATAGCAACCA